GCTACAAGTTGCGAAGAACTACAGACCATGATCACGCAACTATTTCAAGCTTCGGAAAAAGTAGGTCTTAAGATGAACTTGGAAAAAAGAAAAATAATGAAAAATACACCGAATATTAGAGAAATAACGTTGAATGACATAAATTTAGAAACAGTAAGCGAATACATCTACCTGGGACACATAATGAAAGTTAACAAAGAAAATCAAACTGCCGAAATTACCAAAAGAATAAAGGTTAGCGTGGGCAGGATTTGGAAAACTGAGTTAGATCTTGAACAGTACTAAAATAGAACAATATTTGAAAACTAGAATTTACGATCAGTGTATCTTTCCTATTCTAACGTATGGTTTACAGATGTGCACACTCACCAAGTCTAATATGGATAAAATAGTAAAGGCATGAGGAGCGATGGAAAGATGAATGCTCGGGGTGAGACTTATAGACAAAAAAAAACAAACAAATGGATTAAAAGCAAAACCAAAGTAAAAGACGCAGGAGAACATAGTTAGGAAAGAGAAGAAGAGGAAGACCACAAATGAGATGGACTGATCACATTAAGAAGATCGGAGGACACAACTGGAAGCATGTGGTACAAAATATAAAACACTGTATTGATTTGGGGGAGACCTATGTCCAAAGTTGGATTAGTTAAGGCTGAAGAAGAAGAAGAGATCAACATCGGGGATTTTGAACTTGTGCGAATCAGTAATATATGTACAGATAATAACTGCCACAAATATACCTTGGCCTTTGAAGTATCTTCAAAAAGTTGGAAACTGAAAAGTTTATGCAATATCCTGAAATAGCCTTAAGTGCGCACCAATAGCCGACTCTCTTCTAAAGATTGGAAAAGTAGATTAAGAGCTAATATAGATGCATCTTACACATGTAGTGGATCGTGTAAAAGAAGAACTAGAACATTTTTATGAAAGAAAAAAGTATAATTCAACTCTAACGTTAATTGAGCGTCAAAAAAGTGTCAGTATTTACCTGTGTTAAGTTTAGTTAAATCAATGATAAAAAATTTTGAAGCTAAATAAATAGCAAAAGAAGAGGGGGTGTATCAAGGAAAATCTTGGAAAAGAGAATATAAAACTTAAGCGTAAAATTAAATAAAAGATTAGGAGGAACGAAACAGGATCGTAAAAGAAGAAAGTGAAGAGCCCGTATATAGTAATCGTTTCAAAACAAAAAAAAAATAATAATGGAATGCCGAATATCCAGCATATTTTTTATGAAAAAAAAAAAAACAGTTAATTTAACGCCAACGTTTGAACGAATAATAAATCTACTGTAACTAATGTAACGTAAATATTTCTGTAATAACGACTGGCACTAACAACAACGTATGTTCATTTTTGTGTTAAAAATAAATAAAAAAATGTTCCAATTCGATATATTTTAGGATCGCAATAATTGACTTCGTTTTTACTTTTGTTTTGTGTTGATTCAATCGAAAGTGGTTTGTTTGTATTTTGTATTTTTACATAATTAAGATAAAAGTTTACTTTTGCACCTGGTGAGGTCATCTTATGTTTTCAAAAAATATAAATCCTAGAGCGTAGATTTACTTTTTCTCTAGAGTTTTTAATATAAATAAGTACCAATACAGAAAATTTCACAGCAGAAAGAGAAACCCAAATTTTATTTAGCGCATAATCAAAACACGCAAATGTAACACCTGAAATAAATTTGACACAGGTACATAGACATAGGTTAACATAAGATATAAACTAACATTGCAGTATAGAGGCTAATAACATATATCAGTTTTATCATCGTAAGATGTATGTCTATTTAAAAGAATAAGATAATGGTAATTGTTTTGTATAATCCCCACCCTATTACTTGTCTTAGTCCCAACCCTAACAAGGGTTAATGGCGCCCGTGCCGGAAATAGTTTGAGGCCTCAAACTATTATTATTGGATTTACATTTATTTTAAACTCTAATTTTATATGTAGGTTACTTTAAAACATAATTTATGTATCCTCGATATGTTATTATCTATAAAAAAATTATTATATTGATTTACTCTTCTAATATTGGTAACCAGATCCTATTGCATTCTGCAGAGGAATTTGCGACACAATTGTGTTAAGATTTCTACGTAAGACCGAATTTTTTGTGGTTTTTTCTCATGATTTATTTTGATCTTGCATGTGGCTGTCTTTTTAAACACAAATCACATGCTATCTTAAACTATCTTCCAATCAAGTCGTTCCATGTTAAGTCGTCGTCGGAAAAGGAACGGAACATTAAAGTGAGCACACGTGAGTGTGATTTCATGGAAATGAGCGAGACAATTAGATGTAAATGGGAGGAGCAAAACTAAGAAATTCTTGTAATGCGAAACGTCGGACACTGTTCAAATATTCTGTTTACATATGATGGATAAGTGACCGAGTCTGCTTACTTAAGAGAAAGAGAGAGAGAGAGAGAGAGAGAGAGAGAGAGAGCTGGCAGGCAGTCTAAAATTTATCAGGATGAATTAAACATAGTGTAGCTAGAGGAGGAAGAACTGACGCTAAACACACAGAAGACGGAGGCCATAATCTTTAAGGGTCCAAGAGCAAGAGAACATATCTCCTTCACTTTGGCAGGAGAAAATATCCTACCTGTCAAGAAAATCAAATACATGGGCAATACTGGACACCAAACAAAGAACAGCAACGCTAACAAATATCATGCCAAGCATAGGAGGTTCGTGAACAGAAAGAAGGAGAATTCTCATGGAAGTGGTCCACTCCATCATACTATACGAAGCACCATTATGACACCAGGTAATTCAGGAGAATTCTGGAAAAAGCTCAGAGGATGGCCCTGCTGAGAGTCGTCTGCGCATATAAGACGACTTTGACAGTTGCCTTACAAGTGATAGAGGGGTGCCACCAATTCACCTGCTAGTGAGAGATGGAGCAATCACATATGACATGAGTAAAAACGAGAAAGCACACGGGAGAGGGCTGACCAACGCGAAATGGCAAAAAGAGTGCGAAAACGAACATAGGGCTGAATGGACAAGAAATATCGGACGTGAGGACTAGGTAGGGCACAGCCATAGTGATACTAATTACTTTTTAACACAGTTCTTAACTGGGCATAACTTTTTCAGAGCCTACCTGGTACGGATAGGGAAGCAAGAAGATGGCAACTACGTTGACTGTGGGATTAATGACACTGTGGAATACTGTGTATTCGATTGCAAAAGGTTCACGAACGAGAGGGCGGAGCTATACGAAAGGGTGGAAAAAGCTATGGCGAAAAATAATGGAAGTGGTGGAAAGAGGAGAAAGTGAATACAAAGGAAGTGTTGGGACTGACTAAACAATACTAGCCGTGTGTGTGTGTGTGTGTGTGTGTGTGTGTGTGTGTGTGTGTGTGTGTGTGTGTGTGTGTGTGTGTGTGTGTGTGTGTGTGTGTGTGTGTGTGTGTGTGTGTGTGTGTGTGTGTGTGTGTGTGTGTGTGTGTGTGTGTGTGTGTGTGTGTGTGTGTGTGTGTGTGTGTGTGTGTGTGACACACACACACACACACACACAAAATTCAACACACACTAAATTGAACACACTAAATTCACACACGTCTTTAGAAGATTTTAACAAAAAAAGAGCTAAAATTAATTACGAAAATTGTGTACATGCTAACATCGCCGGATGGGTGAAGAGCATTCCAAGAATATGTATAAGAGGATGCTAGAAAGAAAAAAACAGGAGAAAAGACTTGAAACAGAGTGTCCAGGTGCGAGCAGAAAGGTAAGAGGGTGTGAATAATGGTGAAAGTTGAGCATGAATGAGAGGAAGAGAAATAGAGTGAGAGAGAGAGGCGAGAAGGCTTAACCAGTCTTCAGTAAACAAAGTGCGACAATACGTGAGTCATTCCTAAATGAGAAGGTAAATAAATGCCGTACCGACGTTGAGTCTTAACCAGGGTGCCGCAACCGGTATTTCATGGTTGAGAAGGGTGCATTTTAACAGTAAGTCTTTGGCATTCATACAACAGATAAAATTATTTCGATTATTCTACTGAGAAGATTAATTCCTTACGCAGAAGAAATACTAGGTGATTACTAGTGTAGCATTCGATCGGAAAGGTTAACAATAGATCAGATTGAGCCAAAATTAATAAAAGAATTAGGAAATACAACAAAAATGTACATCAAATTTTTGTAGATTTTAAACAAGTGTATGGCTCTATAAACAGGAATACACTGTGGAAGATAATGGTAAAAATAAGAGTATATCTAGAAAGCTGGTAGGATTAGCCCATATATGTGTGCATGATTCATGTTTACGTGTCAGAATTGGCAGCAGTACATCAGATGAGTTTCAAATCAAAACGGGCCTAAGACAAGGCGATCCAACTTGTTCAACTTCATTTTAGAACACACACTTAAGAAATTACAACCAGAATTAAGAAATGACATCGCTGTGCTCATGGAGCAAAGGTACTGTTAGCTTTTGCTGACGATATCGACACAATTGCACAATTCACCAGAAAAGCGAAAGAAGTTTTTACTTCTTTTGAACGCGGGGTCAGATTCGATGACCGAAGAAAAGACGAAAAATGTCATCTTTATACAGAGCATCACGGTTATTACTTTTTTAAAGACTTTCATCAAGATCTATTATATCTTTCTCAGAATGACACAGTGCGACGTAATTTACTTTTCCAACTTTCAGTAGTTGCTAATGGTACAGATGCTGATTCTTCGTGATTTCAATTTTTGCACCAATCGTTAAAGCTTTGAAATCTTCTTCATTGGATCCCAAAGTTTTAGAACATATTAACATTCATCATAAAAGTATTAATAATAAAATTACATATTTGGAACTTTTGTTTTATTTTACCAGAACGCCACTGATTTATTTGGCCATTAATTAATAATTTTTAGAAATAAACGTACCAGCAGAATTTAAATAACTGTAAAGATACTCGTAAATTTACTATATAACGTGGGCAACATAAACAAATGAAAAGTTTGCTCAACTTTTAAATCAACAATGTTTAACAAGATATTATTGTTCATCATTTTTTTCAATTTAAATCTGGTGATCTCGTTTCCAAGGGAAGCTCTATTAGATGCTATGAATGAAGATGAACTCATGTATTATTTCCAAACAAGTGATAGATCAGGGATACCGGATTATGAGATTGTTGAGTTGCCGGTAGTACTATCTGTAGAAGCTGTTGATGCATATGATGGTTACGATGAAGAAATTGATTACAGTTTTTTGGCTTTTCAAAGGTATTTATTCAAAAAAATTATTTATAATTTAATCAATTGTATCAGTTGCTTTAAAAATATGCAAAATCTCTAAGGGCATTTACTCCTAAGAGTCATTTTTCAACATTATTTGTACTTTTTCGAACGACAACAATATTTTTACGATATAGTTGTCCTTGTACGGTCATTGTTTTTATATAAATTGAATGATGTTAAGGATATAATACAACCCTTATAGAGATATATAGATATTTGTCGCTATATAGTAATGTAAATTTGAAATATATAATCCCTTCTCATATGGAGGTAATGCTACTTCTATCATCTTGATTTTCACTCGATATCAGAAAAATAAATTCATAAGCAATGTTTAAATAATAATCAATAACGTTCACTGTCGTTATACATATACCTAAATAATTAATGTAATAATAAAATTACCTTAAGTTAATTTAAAATGTTTATGAAATCGGCCTTAAAATTAATTGTTTTTGATATAGGCTATTATATTTATTCCGCAATAAGAGTTATTCAAACTCTTATTGCTGTATAATAAAAAGCAACAACCAGTAAGTCGGTTTGGTTCTGATAAAATGGCCTTGATACCCCACGAACCACTTAATTTTCAACCAATGTCAAACTGCAGGTTACGATGACGACGATACATCCAATAAACTCAGGTGTTTCTCAAGGAAGAGTCCGTTGAGACATCAACTAGTTCTAATACACTGTAGACGTGCCAACAACACGATTAACTATCGTTGTAGCATTTGCTGATAAAACAGCGATTTTAGAATCACACACGAACCATCAGCTTATAGGAATCTATAAACTAGTCTTACCATGGTCACTCTTCGCAGACTATGTGCTTAATAATTGGCAACTACCACAATCCAATAGCGCCAAATAGCCTGGAATGCATCTGGATCGACGTTTATCATGGAGATAAAACAGATTCGACAAGCGCTAGCAACTTGGTTTTAAGTTAATTTAAGTTAAATAAAATTTACTGGCTCATTGGTCGTAGATTAAAGCTATCATTAGAGTACAAAATACTATTATACAAAACCTATGTGTGCCAGCGATTACAATTGACCATTTTTACAAAGATTTTAAAATAAAGAACAGATAGTTGATGCTCACTAATACATCTTCAACAAAATTATCCAGCACATTCCCTTAGAATCTGTGAAGGATCATTTTAGTGTCAGTTACAGTGAAAGAATGATAGTACATTCCAAATCGGTTAGCTACCCAACTAAACATGCCAGATATCAATGAAGTCCGAAAGCTAAATCATCTATTGCCATCTGACCTGCATTTAACACCCAATAAGCTTAGATTATAAGATAAATACATAAAAGTCTTATAGACACATTTAATGTAGATTTAAGTTTAGTTAAATTTTAAAGGAGATCACTCACTGGAGTGACACTCTGTTGTCTTGTTGGACTTGTTTATTTTGTTTATCTTGTTCTGCATGTACATGCTTTTAACATTCCATGTATTATTTTTATTGGCAATCGACAGTAGATTGTTGTAACTTTTGTTTTTGTCTCCCTAGGTATTGTTAGCACCCTCTCCCTTGGCCTATAAGGCCTGCCATAGACAAGATACCTTTTCTTTTATTGCTTCTTCCATAGTTTTTCTTGAGAAATATAGTGACATACAAACGCCTTCCCGAGGATTCCACCCTACCGTTTGTTGTCTGATTCCACGAGTAGATAAAAAGGTGGGGGGTCACGGGGGTCATGAACCCCCTCAAAATAAAATTAAATATCACTCAAATAACCCTAACAAAAATAATTCAAAACCTATCAACCCTATAAGCAGGAAATCAAGAGTTAAAATGATTCAAACTCATTTATTCTAGGGGTAAGTGTAGAAATATGCGGAAGACTTTTTACATTGCTCTTTAAAAAAATCAAGAATTTTGAATATAGTAATAGCTCGACTAACGCTACCCCGACTTCAGCGAATTCAGGGTTATGCGATTTTCAAATTTTGTCAATTTGAGTACCAGAGAATCGTTCAGTTATCGATGAGATAGAATTACCGTCCACACATTATTGCTCATTCAATGTACCGGGTGGTCCAATAAGCCGATCTCTCGGCTATATATCAGAAACTATTCATGTTATAACTTCAGGAGAAAAAATTCCTTAGTAAAAGTGGCCAAGAGAAATCGCTGGAAATAACTTTCAAGATTCTGGATTAACCGCTAGGGGGCGTAATCTGCGAAGAAAATTTTGAAAACCAGTTTTTTGGGAAATATGTCCAATTATACCAAGTGTTAAATAAGTAAACTAGAAAGAGGCATAAATTCTGCACAAAGTTGTTCAAGTACTTTTTTTTTATTGTTTTATATAAAAGGTGGGGGAGAGTGGGAAAGTATTTGTAGATAAATACCTATAACTTTAGTTTGGATCAACCGATTTTAACAAAATTAGTGTCATTACAAAGAGTATGGATGAGTTAATTTACATCTACTATAAAATAATTGCATTTAGTTTTAATTGTCGTAGGTAGAGGGTACTTTTGAATAGAAAAAATTAAAATTTGTTTTTCTTCAAAATTTTTAATGGAAACAACTATTTATTGTAAATTATAATGGAAACTGGATTAAATTCGTAACAAAATGGTGCAAACCGCATGTTAATAGCTTTTATAGAACTCGAGATATGAATAAAAACGCATAAACATAAGTAAGTATAGTATTGACACACCCTGTATTATAAAATAAATTAAAAAATAAGTCAGTAGGTACTTTCAAAATTTTTTATAGCAGAAAACTCTTAATGTTGATACCTAGTTTAACCATTGTTATTTCATATGATTAAAAATTGTTTTTTCGAAACTAAACTAACGTTTTTTCGACAATGAATTTGATAGGGAGTTCATATTGTTTATTTGTTGACAGCAGTCAAAATATTGTTAAGAAGTGTTATATGTATTATAATTCGAATTGAAAATTCCATTTTTTTCAATAGATATTAATATTGGTAATATTAGTAATTAATTATCATTACTAATAATTCGTGATGAGTATATCAAATTGTATGATATGATTGGAGTTTATTTCGAATATCACCAAAATGGCGCTATTGCCTCACGTATATATTCTGTAAGATATCCTGGCAGGAGATATTGTGGCAAAGAAGTAGAGATTTCGGACTACTTATATGTGGATTCTGTTGAATTAAAGCAAGAACATTGATTGAATTATCTTCGGTCATAACTCTACTACGTCGTTTAAAACAAGGACGAGAAAAACTACCAGTTTCTCTTAATCTTTTTGCTTTTCTTTCAAATACTTCTTTGCCATAATGTCTCCTGTCAGGATATCTTACAAAATATATACGTGAGGCAATGGCGGCATTTTGGTGACATTCGAAATAAAACTCCAATCATTTCATACAATTTGATATACTCATCACGAATGATTTGTACTGATAATTAATTACTAATATTACCAATATTAATATCTATTGAAAAAAGTGCAATCTTTAATTCGAATTATAATATAGCACTTCTTAACAATGTTTTGACTGCTGTCAATAAATAAATAATATGAACTCCCCGTCAAATTCATTGTCGTAGCCTACTTAGTTTCGAAAAAACTATTTTTTACAAAATAGGTATCAACATTAAGATTCTTCTGCTATAAAAAAATTTGAAAATACCTACTGACTTATTTTTTAATGTAATTTATAATACAGGGTGTGTCAATACTATACTTACTTATGTTTATGAGTTTTTATTCATATCTCGAGTTCAACAAAAGCTATTAACATGCGGTTTGGTCCATTTTGTTACGAAATTAATCCAGTTCCATTATAATTTACAATAAATAGGTGTTTCCATTAAAAATTTTGAAGAAAAACAAATTTTAATTTTTTTTATTTGAAAGTCTCCTCTACCTACGACTATGAAAACTAAATGCAAGTATTTTATAGTAGATGTGAATTAATTCATCCACACTCTTTCTAATGCCACTAATTTCATTAAAATCGGTTGATCCAAACCAAAGTTATAGGTATTTATCCACAAATACTTTCCCACTCTCCCCCACCCTTTATTTGAAAAAATAAAAAAAAGTACTTAAACAGCTTTGTGCAGAATTTATGCCCCTTTCTAGTTTACTTATTTAACACTTGGTATAATTGGACATATTTCCCAAAAAACTGGTTTTCAAAATTTTCTTCGCAGGTTACGCCCCCTAGCGGTTAATCCAGAATCTTGAAAGTTATTTCCAGCGATTTTTCTTGGCCACTTTTACTACGGAATTTTTTCTCCTAAAGTTATAACATGAATAGTTTCTGATATATAGCCGAGAGATCGGCTTATTGGACCACCGGTACATGACACGACTTTTCGCGCAAAATCAGCACATTTTTATTTTGTATTAGGTATTTCTTATCTTCAGTATCTTTGAAAAAATGTCGAAATGAATATTGTTGTATTAGCTCTGTCTGATACTTTAGTGAATACAAATAAAGAAATTGGGGGCTGCTATCCAAGGTAGTTGTGAGACTCGTTGGGTTGAAAGGCATAAAGGTCATATTCAGTTCCAGGGCAAATCAATCGTCAAAATATACAACGCTCTTGAAACAGAAACGGGCGTTGATGTCGTCAGTAAAGAAATCAGAAGATTTGAAGAAAACAATGGAAAAAAGCTTTATAATAATTTCAATGTTAAACTTTTCAGCTACTGGACAATGGGCTTAACAAGAAGGGTCAAGAGGACTAAGTCCTTTCATTCAGTTTAGTTTCCAGTGTTAGATGTGAAAGCAGAGGATAATGCTTAAAATTGTTCATTTTGTCATTAGTTCAATAACTTATAATAAAATAAAATGGAATAAAATGAAAGTGAAAATAAAATGGATAGAAAGAAATGGAATGCTCAAAACCTGAGAGATGCATCAGTTGCAGAACGATATTCGCAAAACATCACCAGCAGGCTAAGGAATCAAAATGTAAATGAAGAAGGCCAGATAGATATAAACTCCTACTAGACCAGGATAAACGAAAATATTGAAGCAGTAGCGAAATATTAAATCATCATCATCATCATCAGTGGTGCTACAGCTCTAGTTGAGCCTTGACCTTCCCCAGTCTATTTCGCCAGTTGTTTCTGTTCATCGCCAACCGTTGCCAATTTGCCGCGCCGATTTTCCTTGCGTCCTCGTCCACACCGTCCTCCATCTCAGTCGTGGTCTGCCTCTACTCCTATTTCCCACTGGGACCGATAATAGAGTTCGTCTGGGTGGGTAATTTTTATTTGCTCTTGACACATGTCCAGCCCATCTAAGCCTACCTATTTTTATGAAGGATATTACATCTCTACCATTTACTATTTTTTTATACTTCTCGTACAATTCGAAATTATATCGCCTTCTCCAAATACCATTCTCACAGAATGCGCCCATTATTCTTCTTAGTATCTGCCTTTCGAAGACGAGCAGAAGATTTGCGTCTGTTTTGGAGATGGTCCATGTTTCTGACCCATATGTCAGCACTGGTAGGATGAGTGTTCGATATATTATTAGTTTGGTTTTCTGGCTTAAATTTCTGTTTTTTAACTGCTTGCTTAGTCCAAAATAACATTTGTTTGCTAGCAGTACCCTCCGTTTAACTTCTTCAGATGTGTCATTATCGTTTGTTATGAGAGAACCCAAATATGTAAACTTATTTACTACCTCAAAATTATATTGGTCTATACTGAAGTTTTGTTCGGCGTTTCTAGCTCTATCTCTGTTATTTGGAATAGATGCTAACATTTTGTTTTTTTCCTCGTTTATTTTAAGGCCCATATTTTGTGCGGCTGTCAAGAAGGCGGAAGTCATCTCTTTAAGTCCTCGTGTAATACGTGCGATCAAATCCAAATCGTCAGCTTAAGCCATAATCTACGTTGATTTATTAAAGATTGTTCCCCTATTCTGTAACTCGGCATCTCTTATAGTCTTTTCTAACGCTATATTAAAGAGAAGGCACGCCAGCGCGTCTCCCTGCCGTAACCCTGCATATGTTTCAAACGCTTGTGACATATCGCCTTGTATTTGCATTCTGCAGATCACTTTACTCATAGTTGTTTTTACGAGCCTTATTAATTTATGGGGAATGTTAAGTTCATTCATGGCTTCGTATAATTTACCTCTTAGGACGCTATCATACGCTGACTTAAAGTCCACAAAGAGATGGAACGTGTCAATATTAAATTCATTGGTTTTTTCTAAGATTTGACGTAGCACAAAAATCTGGTCAATTGTTGACCTACCTGGCCTAAAACCGCTTTGATACTCACCAAGGATTTCTTCCACGTACGTACTTAAACGGCTGTACAGGGTGTTGGAAAATATTTTGTACATTGTATTAAATAGCGAAATATTAAATAGGAACAGAAAATTTCTCCCTCATTTCACATATTAATCCTTATCAGTCTTCCTATAAGTGTTATTAATTTCATGTTTTAACCATTTCCCCTCATACTATATTTCTCTTTGCCAATAATTTTTGTCACCATCTAAATTGATTAATTATCTTGTATTGATTACTATTGAATAATCTTTTAGGCCAATCGATCTAAAACTTAAAAGAAATACTGATATTTTGGGTCATAACTTCACAACTTATGTCCATGACGAAGATGGTATTTCCGTATTCAATCATGTTCCTAGAAGTTGTCATTATTTGCATGAGGATGGTATTACTGTGGCATCGATGAGCATTTGTTCGTCAAAAAATGTTGTAAGTAACTAATTTGAATTATAAAAATTAAGAATTATTTTTAATAAAAGTTATATTATTGTAAGAGAGCAATAATCAGTTTATAATGGTTATCAATTTTTTTAGCAAGGTTTAATTTTTTTGGAAAACACTACTCTAGAAGTTCAGCCACTAACAGAACGATTGCAATCAGTGCTTAATATCAAAGAACCTCTTATGGAAACTCTTCTGCAAGACGAATCGCTAAAAATTCCCCATTTAGTAAAACGAGCTAGTTTTCTTCCGGCTTTTCCGCATACCGAGGAAGATTATTTTCCCATCGCGGCAAATGTTTGGTCCGAAAATGAAAATATACGAACAAATAACATATTCGATGCTGAAAACGGTTATAACTTTAGGGATAATATTTTTCGACCGTACTCAGAAGCTGCTTCTTTTAAAATACCGACACTAACACTAGAATTAGCCATGTTTTTCGACGAGGCAGCTTACAAAATATTTGCTCCTTATTTTAATTACGATGACAAGAAACTGCAGGATATGTTGCTGGCTTACATGAATGCAGTAAGTTTTTATGAATTTTATTTACTGTGTTATTTTGTTAGCGGTTTTCTGGTGAATTATGAGTAATACGTAGGAGAAGGGTGGGAAAAGTGGCCATGATAAGGAATATTTTTTATCTTGAAGAAAATAAATAAGAAATACACTATATATTAATATATTATGATATCCTACATACTTAGCTAGATAGGGCAATTTTAATTTTCACTTTATCTCGGCAAATTTTTTAGATACATATTTTTACCCCAATCCTACCAAATTACCACTTTGCTCTGTGGGGTGGGACAAACTGGCGATGATGTGAATGATCTTTCCATAGACTCATCATCATTAATCTAGAATTTGAATCTATTTTTCTATTATTAAAAGCCCTTTTGTGCTCTGCTACCCCTTGGTTAAAAGTTCTACCAGTTTGACCAATGTAATTTTTTGAACAGTCGACACGTTTAAGGTTGTATACACCACTGTGCAAGTTTTTTCCTTTTGGATCTTGTTGTTCTTAATATATTTGCCTAAGTTGGTGTTGGTTCTGAAGGCTGGTGTTATTCCTTTCTTTTTTTATGTGTTTGGCAATTTTTGTTGATGTTTCTTCTCTGGTGGTGGAAATACTAATTTCAGGGCTTTCTTACGTAGTTTTTGTTTTAAAATTTTGTTTATTGTTTGTCCTTTGTCCAATTTTTTACTGCCATTTACTTAATAATAGTCAATTCTATCTTGAATTTGTTTTTTGACATGGAAATATCTATTAATCCATGTAAGATGCTATGGTAGGCTGCCAATTTATGTTGTGTAGGATGGGGTGATGAATTATGTATAATCGTGTTACTATGGATAGGTTTATGAAGTACGGAGAACTCATGTTCGTTTTTAACTCTGATCATATTTATGGATTAATAACTTTTTGTTAACAGATTTGAAAGATGATGTTTATATGTATAAATATAAAGTAATCTTATTAAAAATTTTAGGTTCAAGCATTGTACCACCATCCTAGTTTAGGTACGTCTTTGGAGTTAGTTTTAACAAGAATAGATATAATGAAACGTCAACCAGCAGATATGCAGCACTACGGTGGTGAACGCAACAAACTTCTAGACAGTTTTTGCTCTTATCAGGCGAAAATAAATCCAAAAGGTGACGATAATCCAGGACATTGGGATATGGGTTTATATGTTTCAGGGTAAGAAATCTTAGTTCTGTTCTAAAACAAGCTTTAAATATATATGTATACCTACTTATTTTTTTTTATTTTAGGTTAGATTTCTTTGCATACGACAACGGCAGAAAAGTGGAGTAACGATGGGATTGGCTACTGTGGGAGGAGTGTGTTTGGATAGTTATGCTTGTGTTATAGCAGAATTTGGAACCACAAATGTTTTTGGAAAACCTTATCCGAGCGCTGGATTTACCAGTGTCTATGTACTTGCCCATGAAATTGGGCATAAGTAAGTCTTTTTCTTTAGTGTTTAAATAATTTATATAATGATTTTCGAGAGATTTCAAATATTTATTTAGAAGTAAAGCAAAGATTAGAAGTAAAATGTCGACGAAAGCAAGTCGACATGAGATATGCTTTGGTGCAGATAAAATAACCAACCAAGAAATCTATGTCGAATGCGAAAAGAGACATAGTTGTCTACTTTCTCTCTCCTTTTTTTATGAATACATTTTGGATATCTGCCAATATATCCAGCCTTTCTGTCTTTTGACTTTTAGAAAAAAAAAAGGACAGAAAATTCATAACCTCGCTGGCAGATAGTTATATTTTCAAGTGAGCATATTATTATGTTTTTAGTTTAGGTATGCACCATGATAGTATCCAAAACAGCTGTCCCAAGGAAGGTTACATTATGTCTCCATCCAGGGGAACCAACGGTGAAACCCAATGGTCAAGATGCAGTGCAGATGTCATGACGAAATTAAGGTAAAGGTATCATAAACTACACAGTATCCTTATGAATCTACTTACACTGAGGGGCTAATGGCAAAGTTAATTTACTTCCCCAGCAAATTTATCAAATACCCTTTTAAATTAGTAGGTTATCATATAGTTTAATAGAAAATATATCATATTACTCTATACTGAATAAGACGATGTTATCAAGACTAATCTGAGTATTTTATGTTTTATTTAAGTAGCTGGGCAAAATGTTTAGAAGACACGTCCAAACCTAATAAAAATCTGGATCACAACAAATTTCTGCGGACACCTGGTCAAAAATTTACTGCCAAAAAACAGTGTGAGATACTTCTTCGTGATAAGGATGCTACAGTACTACCCAGCCAAGGCCTTTCCGAAATTTGTTATAATTTACACTGTAAAACACCCATCGAAGTGGACATTATTTTGCGGGACCTGCTCTTGAAGGCACTCAATGTGGTTATGGGCAGGTATGTTATTTTAAATTCGGGTTTATTTTAAGGTAGTTTTATTTTATTAATATCTATTATTTTTTAAAGATTCAAGAAATAATAGTATACATGAGACTTACTAAAACGTTGACCCTTTCAGTCACAGCGTCCTCCTATGTCCATCAAAAAGTGTCCCTTTCGCATATTCAGAAGACGAACTAGCTGGTTCTATATTAGTACCATCCATTCCAGGGTTATTAGTTCTATTTGTAGGAGTCTCTTCTAATTCAATGTCTTCAGATTCAATTTCAGCTATAATTTCTTTGTCGGATATACTACAGTCCAATTGAATAGAAGATAAATTAGCTGGCTCATTTCTTTTTCAAATATACTACAAACCAAAGAAACTGTTTTCAATTCAGCAAATAATGTTGATGCATTTTCGCTACGGATTTGTTTATTATGTATGGTTAAAATTCTCTTGTCTAACGAAAAATCTGCAGATGTTGAAGCTCCCGGAGATGAGAACAGCAATTTAGGAGTTTTCTCTCTATGATCCTTAATATTGGAACTTTTACGACCTTTCTTCATATTTGATTAATATTTGTCAATTGCAGTCATTAGTTCATTATTTAAAATAACAGAATTCGAGAAAAGGCCATCGGAATTCTCTATTTTATCAGATTTCTGACTATCGTCCAGTTCCCAGTCCATATTATATGAAATAAAAACAAACATAAAATATTTGTTTATTTTAATTAACTCACAAAACATTATGCATTGTGAAATTTTGAAAATTCCTCACTAACTATCCCGAAGTTTTGGCAACGCTGTGGGGTTCTGACGACATAAATCTTAAATGACGTGCAAGCTTTTTTATATGAAAAATGCTATAAATAATATGCTAAGAACTAATAAAATATAAATATAAAAACATAAATTTGATCTACTATAATTTGCCTTCATTTCATTATTAATTTTACTTAAATAAATATCACTTATCTACTTGAATTTTGATACATAAATATGTAATGTCAGTTACAAAGAACAATACCGCCCAACTCCATGGTTAAGTTTCAGTACAATTTTCACAAATAAATCTTTGTTATTATGAGGATATTTTACTAAAATATTGTTAATTAACTAGCTAAGAACTAAGGTAAATATATTTGACTAATTAAACTTACCTTTTTCGCTGAATGATTTGGCAGAAAACACGGAGCGATACAACCTAACCTTAATATTACACCTGTTTGACAGGAGAACGGCGGTATTTTTAACAGAATGTACATAGGCGGTATTAAAATAGCGTCACTGGATAGTGTGCCGTTTGTCGAAATGGACAATTTTCAAGGCAAATGACGCAGAGAGATGTATCTATGTAAAGGAACCATAGAACAAAGTACATTTGGGGAAAATGTTACTTAGGCGGTTTTGGTTCTTCGGCGACGATATATGTATCGTACGTTTTGTGAAACAACTGCTTTATATGTATTATGAAAAATAAAATAAATGTTTATTTCCTTTCGTGATAATTCAATATATTTCAGTTTTTAATTTTCTCTTGCGCTTTTATTCTGAGTACTTAAAGTAACTCTGTCTTTATAGAAGGATATTCAATAAATATAGCCAAATTCTATCTTTAAAAATAATAGAAAAATCTGGAAAGTTTCAGGTTTTTATTTATATTATTTCTTGTAGCGTGACCGAAAGAGCTAAAAACGTGCTTTCATTTTTGAATTTATTATTTATCATCAATAGTTCTTTAGAAAAAATTGGTTGCAAAAATAAAGAATCGATATATCAAGATAAGAAATTATAGTGGTATAGAGGACCTTTATGTTAAAACATTTAGTAATTTTTATTTTAGTACTGTTATGGTGGCACCTGTGTCAAAAAAGCTCTTCCCAAACCAGTCAAAGTTGTACCAGGAGGATGGGGTCCATGGAAAGAAGGTGTTTGCAGTTCAGGTTGTATAGAAAAATCAAAAGGGAATACTTCAAAAAGAAGACTCTGCAATAATCCAGCTCCGCTCAATACTGACGAGGGATGTGAAGGATCGAGTGTGCAATTTGGACTTTGCAATGATAGTAAGGTAGTAAAATATGAATTTTTATACTAAATATAGTCGTAATTACTTATTATTTATGTTGTGATCTTAGGTATGCAAAGGAAAAATATCTGCAGTAAACTATGCATCACAAAAATGTACAGAATTCTCGAAGCTTTTGCCTGAACTGGAATCTGTGGGAACTGGGCTTCAATCACCACACGAAGAAGGTATTTTTTTCTTAATACACATATCTATACTGGTTTGATTAATTTTTATTCCAATATAAATTTTAAACTAATTTTACAGACTTATAAATATTTTGGTTATAATATATTGTTTTGGTTCTTCTTTATATTATTACAAATTCAATGTACTATCCTATTCTATCCTATAATCGGGAATCAAAACTGTAGGCAGTAAATTCTTGGAAGTAATCGTGACGTTGTCTATACTTGTTGGCTACTTCCTCTGTTTTCAATTCGTCGTTGTTATATCTTATGTTTTGCCTTCTTTTTGTTTTTATTTCTTCTGAATACTCATCCTTTAACTTAACTCCAACCATATAATAGTCTTAATCAACGTCAGCTCCTCTATAAGTTTTTACGTTAGTTATAAGTTCTGAAAATTTATCCTGAATTACCTCATGATCAATTTGGTTCGTTTCCCCAGTGGAAGGTATTACCCATGTACCCTTATATATCTCTTCGTTTAAAATGAGTACTCATTATCTTCATTTCCCTTTCTACGGCTAGTGAGATTAACTTTTGTCCATTATCATTGCTTTTTTCGTACTTACTTTTGCCCCATGTGATTTTATTGTACGTTTCTTCTCTCCACATCCACCGTTGCATTTGCATCTCCTATAAGTATTAGTATGTCTCGTCTCGTTACATTGTCCAAAAATAGTTTTCTATTTCCTCGTAGAAAGCATCTTACGTTTCTTCCTCATTTTCCTCTGTCGGTGTGTGAATATTTACAATGTACATTATATATCTATTATGTCTTTTTAGTTGTATGGCACAAAGTCGATCGGATTTTGCTATAAATATACCTTGATAATATCGAATAAAAACTTTAATTCTATATTATTTTTATATTGATATTCTTTTTTATTTTAAAAAGTATATACATGGACACTTCTTTTTAGGTCGTTTATGGATGGGATGTGCTATTTTTTGTAAAAGAGCAGATTCGGGAATATTCTACACTCCAAGGATAGAACTGAACGATCTGGGAATTTCACCTTATTTTCCTGATGGAACATGGTGTCATTCAGCCGGAAATAGAGATTTTTATTGTTTACAACATCACTGTTTACCAGAGGTACATTGTACATTTCTATAACCAAAATTAAAAAAAAAATGAAAGCAAACATTTGTCGGCACAATAAATAATAGCTTAATATGTGCTTACTTTTTTAACGGTTCGAACAGTTAATGTTAAAATATTTGTTGTACGTAAGAGCCATCTAATATTATTTTAATACTTTCTTTTGTAGAACTTTCAAATCAGAACATTATCAAATCACCTAGAAGACCTATCTTTTCTTCAGAATGCTAGACCTCATGCTCACGTCTCCCAAGATATAAAAGATTACTTATCTGTAGATTCGTATGGGCGTCCGATAAAGACAACATTATCCGAAGGTGACGACATACCTCCACAGGATGAAGAATGGGAGTCCCATGATTATATTGAAATTCCAGGATTGAGGGAACGATATTATAGTGAAAATGCGAACAGAATATAGTGGCTGAATTGTGATCAATTATTATTTAATCTTTTTAATACACTTTTTAACATGTTTGCTGTTTTTTTTTTATTGAAAACTTTACAGTATACCAAATTATTGGACTCCATAGAACTTTCTTCAATATATCGTAGTGAGTTTTAGTTGCAGTGATTATAGTTTGCATTTTATGAGATCTGCAGTTTGTAACGACAATATTTTGCCTACTACAGGGGGCATTAATACAGGGGATAGAAAATTGGTGGAAGAAACTATTGGGGGTGGAGATAAGGCAAGCAAAATAATCGCTACTTGTGCGAACGGCACTCAGGTTTGGTAGGAGAGCTGGGGTCGTGGATAAGTAAAATATAAGGGGGATGGAATGGGGCAACTACAAAAAAATGAAATAAAAGGGGGTACTTATCTCTTGGGATAAACAAAATAAAAATAAACAAGAAACACCTCAAGGAATTTAATATAGGGCGCCACTTGAGGTGCCCAATTACACCTATCACAACCACTAGTTGTAACTAGGAAAATAATTAGAAAACATCAAAAACATATCTTTTTCACACTCAAAAAAAGGGTCAGTTCAAAAAAGAAATAAAATGTTAAGAAAACAAAATTCAACATTTATTTTTGTGTCACCACAAACAGTTATAAAATTGAGAAATACAAAATACAAAAACTTACGTGTCATCCGCTTACAAACTCCAGGAGTTGGAGATACTACATATAATCTTACAAATTTACATGGAGGTTAACCTTGTTTAAAAATAAAACAAACTAATAGTAAAAAAAATAATAATAAAAAACGAGCTGTCATAAGTTAACATTAAATTTCAAAAAAAAAAAATAAACAAACAAATTGATAACTCAACTCAAAACCTAAAATTTACAATTTTAAATGTAACAATTTTTAAATTTCAACAAGCAATTATTATTTTATAAAAAAAATTATCTGTCTTTACTTTAAATCTTGAACACAAAAAAAACAGTTACTTGATTTTCACTTAACAAAAAAACTTGTCACATCTCTGGAGTATTGACATCGTCCGCGAAAACATCCATTGGGGGGCTGGACAGGAACATAAACAGGAACTAGACTTTTTAAATATCATAAGAACTTCAAAAAAAAAAAAAAAAAAAAAAAACGAAACAGTGGTCACTCTTTCTAAGATGACATATTACATTGAGCGAAAACTCCACCAATTCATAACGGATAAAATTTACTACTACTGCTACTTATTTCCACAAGATTAACCAAAAAAAGGAAGAAACACAAATTCGATGGAGAATCTGTGGATCCATACCTCCTATCACTACGAAGGCCCGAGTATGAATGACGAATTTAAAAATTCGTTGCTAACTTGAAAATAAAACAAACTGCTGAATTAGCAAAACCAACAAAACGGCGGTACATATCCTTTTGCGACGTATTTGAAATTATAACGCGGCTTCAACGAACATTAAAACAAATTGCCGACAAAGTTAAAATAAATAAACAACTTTAAAATGGTTTACATTAACTCCAGCAATGCTAATAGCGGCTTCCCACGGTCGGCGATATTACGGACGTAAGCGGACCAGCACGCACCACGCACCGTGGGAAGGGTCTCGTCCGTGGTAGCGCAGGCACGTCTGTGCTGGTCCGTCCTATCCATCTAGAGTCGGTAACATCAAAGGTGCGGTACATGCTCGTGCGACGCGATCCTAGCGCGTCTGTGTTTTAACAGACGACAAGTGCAAGTCAGAAGTTTTTCATTCGCTGACACGAGTAGTTGTCTGTAGTGTTGTCAAAGTTGTTTTGCAGTTTTTTGCTAAAAAATGGAATGGACAAACGAAGTTATTTTTGATTTTTTAAATTTGTATCAAAATCAAAATGAAACGATGTATGGAACCGAATAAAAAATCAATTGAAGAATAGTACTATTTCGATTAAAGAATTAAAAAGAAGAGAAATAATTTAATGCCGAATTTAATGTTTACAAGCCTGAGTGGCCTTTTTATGATATAATCAAACAATACTGTCACGGACCTACACAGACTGTCACGGACCGTAGGAAGAGCTCTGTCTGCGGTGCGTTCTCGTCCGTGCTGATCGGCTGTCCGTGATGATCTGTAGAATCGCCGATCGTGGATCGTGGGAAGCCACTGTAAGACAAATATGCGTATTTCAAACTTGAAAGATACGAACTAACAAAAACGCAAAGAATTCCTCGTTTTATTTTTAAAACATATATAAGGAGTTTTTTAATATATTTCATTATACGAGGAGCTTTCAATACACTTCAAAGAATCAATGAAATTGAAAATGCTACAAGTTTGCTTATAGAATATTCTTAGACGTAAGATCTATAAGATTTATAAGTCTAAAAACGTATAACATTTTTTTATAAGTTAGATTAGTAATTATATTACTTTAAGATTAATTTTAAAAAACCTTTTGCAATTAACGCAGCTACGTCAATGTCCGTATCCAAAAATCTCCCTTTTGCACCTCGCCTAAACGAATGAGAAGTCCATACATAGTTCTTTATGAGAATGTAACGGTACTTTATTTTGTATCTTTATAGACCTAATTCTTTGATATCTTTCAGCTTTTTTATTTCTTAAAAGATGTACCGAAACATGCAGATTACTTGATGGCTGCTTTGTTAAAAATTTGAGAGCAATTGTCATTTTTTTGGGAACAAAGAACATTTAGGTCCCTTTTTTATAGCACTACCAAGAGAGTAATAAAATTTGTTAAGCTTCTTACAAATAGCTTTACTTTAAAGAGAATCTTTCCTCAATATGGTACAGTTATTTACCTTTTTGCTTCCCTTTTTAAAATATACCGTTATTTTTATATGTTTAATTACTATTTAAATGGAAATAAGCCACAATTAAAGGTTAAAATGCGTTTACTGACGTTTCAATTTCTACTTCGGAAATCGTTCTCAAAATGCAAACATTAGTGTGTTCCAGAAGTGGAAATTGAAACGTCAATAAACGTATCTTAAATTTTAATTGGGGCTTATTCCCATTTAAATAGTAACTACTTTAAAATTCCACAAGAAAATAGCTCCAGTTTATATGTTTCTGCCGAAAATGAACTTAAGTCGGTTCTTGTTAAGGGGGGATGATCCTGTTCTAGGGGACAGTTTGTCCAATTTGAGCAAAAGAGAATCTTTTTTCGTTGGGTAGTCTAAGAGATTAGATTGATTTTTGGTTGCTTATTATAAGTAGATAAATAAAATTTAGTAAATAAACAAAACAAAATATATTTTGATAAAATGAAAAGCAGATATCGAGCACTGTTTTATTAATTAAATCTTGCCCAAGTACTTTCGCTTCCTAGAGCATCTTCAGAGGCATTTCATTAAATTTTGGGCTATCCAACAATTTCAGAATGTCATAGGCTTAAAATTAAACATACAATTGAACATATACTAAACAAGGACAAACAGTTTAAAATTATTTAAAAAATAGTGGAAGCTCCTGTTGCCAACCAGAATGTAGTTTTTAGAATGTAGTAAAAATTTCTTTATTAATTCCTTTAACTGCAGTTTCTCTTTTTACTATTTTTTTCTTCAAAAAGTAGTTGGCGCCGTCTGTCTTTCTTTTCTCTCTCTTTTTGACCAGTAGAATAAATATTCGCCCTTTCTCTTTCTGTCCGGTAGACTAAATATTCTGTACTATGCTGACAGAAAAGCTAATTCCATCATATGAACATCCTATGACATCCTACCTATTTTCTGTCCAACACCTTTAATGGTGGGATTATTTTTTGTTTATAATTGAAGCTTCATTTGATGGTCTACAACATTCTCTTGGGTTTATTTGCGGCTTTATTGGCGAATTTATTGACCATATTCTTTAAAACTTTATTGGCCATATTCTTCAATACTTTATTGGCTATATTCTTCAAGACTTTAATGACCATATTCTTCAAGACTTTATTAACCATATTCTTCAAGACTTTATTGACCATATCCAAGTATTTATTGATCATTGGAGGACCTAACATCTAATTGGGAGACCACACAAGCAGCCCATTGAGGTCATCGATGCCATAAGTATCATCCTCGCTAATTAATTATTAAGTATTGGCAGGGTTGATTATTGTTTTTATTGTTTTAATAAATATGATTGGTTAAAATTTGTTTTATTTGCTATTAGCTAAGGGTTCAGGTTCAATTCCTAGTTTAAGACAAGACGAACTCACACTTGAGATACTGAGCTAGGCAAGGCATAGACGATAAGCTCCCATGGTTGATTGAGGTATTATTTTTATAATAGTACTTCAATTCTCTTTGGAAGTCTTATCGCAACAAATATCTTTTCTTGTATCTATGGTTCCCTTTGTAACTCAAAAAAGTTAAGTGGCGCCCATTTTCTTATCTTCTTTTATCTTTGGTAATATTACCTATCTCTCTTATTACTATTTCCCTGTCTTTTCTAATCTATCTTATCTTTATTATTTCTTCTGTTGGGTTCATTCCCGATTCCAAAAGCTAGTTTCGAACCTCCGACGCGCTCTTCACCGACCATCTAAGTGCCGTTCGCAGTGTCTCCATTGGTGACTTCTCTAACATCATGCAAAAAAGGTTTCCGATGCTACAAAGGATAAAAATAAAAGTAAGCATACTTTATAAACGTTTATTAATAGAGAAAAAACAATAAAACTCTTAATGATTAAGGATTAATTCATGAAAATGCGATGTTCACTTTTGGAGGATAGAATCAACAACAACTTTATAGTACACCATTGTATTTCCCCATATTTTCCACTTAAACTAAAAAATAACTCAAATCACTCACCAAAAATCAGTTTTAAATGTATAAAAACTTCATAAAACTCTGTGTGTCGAGTATTTTTCAGTAGCTCGGCCCGGCCCAAGCGAATAACCTAAAAAATACATCATACTCTCATGTTGATAATATATATCACAGTTCACTAACAATAATAACTCAGGCGAAAGTGGGTTTTTTTCAGGAAAGTTTAGAAAAAGCACAATATTATTCGTAACAAATACGATACGACTCGTATTCTCAAGTGTTCGTTGGTTGGCCGGATAATATCCTCTGTCGCAAAGGCTTTATGTAGGTGAACGCATCTTCTCCAATTCGGTAGAACAACTGAAACAAAGATAAATTCTTAATAATTACAAATAATTACTTTCAAAAGAATTAAGTTTGTATATGTATCCCATACATTCTTTCCTTTTGGAAAGGTGAACTCTAGAATCTTTTCACGATGCTTTTTTGTATATACATATCGAGTCTTTTGGTAATATTTTTGATATACAAACTTTTAATCGTTGTCAGAGCAGTGGAAGGTTAGTTGAAAGGATGTGGTCACAATAATTATGGTCATCAACCTTATACCATCACTGGTTGAAAACGACTAGATTTTGTATATATAAAAACCAAAATTTATGGTCATTACAAGAAAAGATAACGTCCCATGTAATCTTATCATAAGCAAGGAGCATATAGAGTGACAAGATATGAATGTCTTGGTAGCTGGTTGGCCTAAACACTATATCCTTTAAACGAAACAAAATTCCGAATAGAACTAGCAAGAGTAGCATTTATAGAGACCAACCGAGTTCTCTGTTGTAGCAGCCTCAACCTAAGGCTTCGAATAAGAATGCTAAGATCCTACGGCTTTTTAACTGTCCTTTATAAGAAACGGATAAGCTTGCTGCATTTGAAAGGTTGTGTTACCTCTGCATGTTAAAAATATCATGGATTGACAGAGTAACGAATTTGACTGAAGATATAAAACTTCTTCAGAGAATGAAAAAAAGCGAATAAATAATCAGCATCTTAAAAACAAGAAGGCAAGTCTTTTAGTATTGGCAACCAGATCCTGGTACATTCTGCTGATGGATTTGCTACAAATTTGCTACAATCGGAAGATGGTTTTCTGCTCGGTCATAGATATGGGGTCTCCTTCGTTTGATAAGGATGTGCGGAGAGGAGAGTCAGAGAGGAGAAAAAAGACGACAGTCGTAGGATATAGGAGGTTTAAACAGGCATTTGAGAGAAAATGGCTATCTTGGTTAAAAAAACTGATTTTTAATGGATTTAGAACGTTATGAAACTTGGAGACTGTAGCAAAGTTGCAATTAGAAATGTAAAATGTGAAATTTAATGTAAAATTTGAATGTGAAAATGTGAATTTGAAATGTGAATGTGAACTGTGAATGTGAAAGTAAAATGTGAAATATGAATGTGAAATGTGAACGCGAAATGTGAACGTAAAATGTGAATGTGAAACGTCAATGTGAATGTGAAATCTGAAAACTTAATGTTAATGTGAAAAGTGAAAATGAAATGTGAATGTAAAATGTGACTGAAATATAAATGTTAAATGTGAACGTGAACTGTGAAATGTGAAAATGAAATGTGGAATGTCAATGAAGTGAATATGGAATGTGAATGTGGAAGTGAAATGTGACTGAAATGTAAATGTGAAATATGCAAGTGAAAGTGAAAAATGAATGTGAAATTTATATTTCGACTGAATTGTAAATGTTAAATGTGAAAGTGAATTTGAAATGTGAATGTGAAATGTTAAATGCGAATGCGAAATGTGAAATGAAATGTGACTGAAATGTGAAACGTAAAGTAAAATGTGACAGTGAAATTGAGGTTAAATGAAAGTGAGGTTAAATGTGAATGAATGTGAAATGTGACTGTGAAATGTAAATATGAGTGAAATGTGAAAGTGAAATGCGAAATGTGAAAATGAAATATGAACGTGAAATGTGAATGTGAAATAAATCTAGAAGAACGAACGTTTGTATTCATATTCAAGCAATCATTACTTAAACATACCCCGGCCGGTATATGCGTAATCATTTGTTAACTATAAATAGCTACAGAAATTAAGTAGAATGCGCTTTAAGAATTTACTTTATATTTTAAAATAGCTTTTAATTCTATATGTATATTACTGAATAATAATTACCTTTGTTTGCCATTCCTGTCCGCTCTCTTTCCTCTCCTTGGCTTCGTCTCTCTGTTTCTGTTCCAAAGATTGTTTAGCAGCGGTAGCTCTGTCGATCTCGTTAAATTTCAAACCAGCCGTTACTTCTTTCCACAATTTACGCGATTCATTTTCCTCCTGCTGACTAATCGGTTTGACCTGTTTCTTTATAATGTTTAATTGGTTAACATCTACGTATTCTTCAGTCTCCTAAAAGAAAAATATATAAAAATATACTAAAAGCGGAAAAATATTTATATTGATATTTTTAATAATTTTGTTCCTTTTTGTTAACTTTTTGTTACATTTATAATTAACCCTAGAACTGTATGGACGTAGAGCCACGTTCTACCAAGAAGGCAAAAAATCCACGGACAAAACCTTCTCACCCTCCTACGTCTAAAATGGTGGACAATGTTGTGAAAGGGCTCAAGAAAAGAGGTGAATTTTCTCTTCAAACTATCAAGAAGTATATTGCTGCAAATTACAAAGTAGATGCAGAAAAAGTTGCACCGTTCATAAAAAAATATTTAAAAGCTGCAGTTGCTACTGGATCGTTGATCAAAAACCGAAAAAAACTGACGCCGCTGCCAAACGTTCTGGCCGACAGGCGAAAAGGCAAAATCTGTAAAGAAAGTGACAAAGGCTAAAAAAGCCGCATCAAAGACAGAGAAAAGCCGGCAAAGGCGAAGAAAGTTGAAAAGAAGTCAGCACCTAAAACTGTGTCATCTTCATCCGCAGTTCCGACTTCCGCAGAGGCCAAAGTAAAAACATCAACCAAAGCGAAGAAATCAAATAAAGGTAGTCCTACGAAATAACCCAATGCACCTAAGCGAAAGACCGCCAAGGCTTCTGCAAGTTCACCAAAACCTAGAAACGCTGCTGCTCCTAAGAAGAAGTAATTGGACTAATTAGCATTGGACAAAGCCTTCTTCAGAACAATCCTCCATTCGCCCCTGTCTCTGGCAACTCTTCTCCATGCTCTAATTCCGATAGACTTCAATAAAATAAAACCTTGTTCTTTTATGCCTCCATATATTCGTCTTAGTATTTTTCGCTCAAACGTTTGAGCAATTCTTGGTCATTCTGTGTTAGTGTCCAAGTTTCTGAACCATATGTTAGCACTGTTTCTTAAATGATAAATAGAATAAATCCTTAGATTGTTTTCAACAACTCAACTATTTCGGGGTTAAGATTTTTATAATGATTTTTGAAATATCTGTTTCTTATCAATTTTGAACACTCTTAGAAGTATTAAATGTACAAGACGACATAAAAATATGCCATTATTCCTAGAGAGGAAGAATCAATGGCATTATGATAAACAACATAAAGTACGCAGATTATACGGTGATCATAGCAGAAAATAAAGACAGCTCCAGAAACTAATGAATATACTCACAGAAGAAATCATCAGAACAGGGTTGAAAATTAATATCATAAAAACAAAGACGTTAGTTTTCAGCCGAGACTTACACACCCTTCACTTCATCACAATCTTAATGAAAGTGTTAATGGAATCAGTTATTTTCAACAAGATCGCTCAAACGATATTTAGAGATGAATTGAAGTCACAAGAGTAGGATTCATAAACATGAGAAACAAACTGTGCCACGCAAAATTGGTCATACCAATGAGACTATAAAAGACCACTAAAATATTGTATATGGTCACTGCTTCTGTACGGCTATGAAACCTGGACACTCAAAGAAGGCTACATCTACTAATTAAATGCATTTGAAATGTGGCTGTACAGAATAGTGTTGCGAATTAGTTATTCTACAATAACGACCAACGTAGAAGTATTGTCAATGATGATTACTCCCTCACATTCTGTTAAAGATCGCCAATATGGCGATCAAATGAAAACTTCAAACCTCAGACATATAATATAAAAGAAACAAGAATAGCTACAGCTAATTATTGAGAAAAAAGAGTAAGAAAAAAATCGTGGCTCAGGAATATAAGATACTGGACCAGAACTAAAGGAAATACTATGATATACCAAGTCCACAACAGACTGGTCACCATACTGGTCTTCAAACTCAATAGAGATGGTACATAGGAAGAGGATTTCCACAGTTCAATAATAAGTAGTTATATAAATTATTTACATCGATATTTTAATAATACAACAAACACTTCTTACTCTATCAGTCCATTTATAATCCATAATTCCACTCCATTCTCCCGAAACAGTTAGGAAAGGTTTCTTTTCATCTGGCCCGAACACTTCAGCCGTAATCCTATTCTTTTTATTTCCGTAGAAGGGTTTTGTGATAAATTCTATATTACAGTTGTAGCCCGTTTTTGGACAGTTAATGGTAACCGTACCACCCAATTCGATCCAGGGTATAGTGAGTATAGATCGGCCATAACCGTTAGGGAATGTCAATATGTACTCTTCGTCGTAGTCGATAACGTTGACGATACCTTGTCCAATATTGTACACACATATTGACAGGCCGAGGAATTTAGACTTGGTGTACACATGCGCGTTGAAGCTGATCCGTTTATTGTAGTGTTCGGCGTAGAACGCAGATACTAAAAAACATATATTCAATTAATACAATATCTAAATTATTATTTATCTTAATAAATAATTATTATAAAACGAAACTTACTTGGCGGATGATGGGACACCTGTTCAGCAACAAATGTAAGTTGCGACCTCTTGCACCACGGTACGGGACCGTCTTCAGCTAAACTATCGTCTGTACCATTGTCGGAATTCGGAACGTCCCAATGGCACCTAAATACTTCGCCTAATATAGGGTTATAAGGTTTTTTGGCTACAGTACTCTTCCTTCCTGCGTGATACGAGGATAGATACCATCTAACTACTTGTACCATACGTTCTCTAGGGTCTTTAATGTTTGGAATACTACAAAAATAGCAAATTGTCAATATCATACATATAATATTTAGGAATATTAAAATAAAATGTAATAATTTAATATTACTTCTTCTTCTTGCTTCAACGTCTTCTGTCGAGGTTGCTGATTAACATGGCTATTTGCACTTTCTAAACTGCTGCAGGAATAATGACAGATGCTATTCCGAATCATTCACAAACGTTTCGTAGTCAAGAAATGCTTTTACGTCACACGCTTGTTCATCCAACGATCTTACTTTGCGTTGAAAATATTCTTCGGTGTTTTAACACACTACTCCCAGTAGAAGCGAAAACTGGACAAATAGAAACAGTTTTCTCTTAGGACAAACATAATTCAGGTTGGAACAACAGTAGCATTTTCTAGCTATTGCAACATTGCATCACGACTTCAATGAATCAAACAAAACAGAAAAAAAAAACAAAAATCATAACCAGAAACTATTTGTCATAACTGACAACATAGCTGACTTGATGAATCGGCACCAGGTACAGTTCGTTGCCTTAAGCACAACGACCAGTGGCAAATTTCTACAAAAATGGCTCTAGCCTAACCAAAAACGTGGAACAGACCAGTGTTGAAGTTTCTGGGAGCGAAAAGAGGGGTGCTTCCAGTTCAAAAAAGGTAGATTGCCAACAAAGTAGCATCAAACAATAATAAAGTTCACTATGAAAGTCAAACAATGATTTTCCAATTACTGGTTGAAAATCGAACTAACACAAAAAGAAGAAAAACAGGATGGCCAATAGTTCCATAGAAATATCCTCCGGAATCGATCACAGCGCAAATATTTCCAACTCAGGAAGCTCCCAAAAGGAGAAAATAAATCCAAAATGTTAATATACAATCTTGGAAAAGAAAAAAAAAGGGGTACGTGGCATACAAGCCATACTCGATACACAAACAGTTCAGTCTCAAACTAATACTTCCAAAATAAACAAAAAAGTTCGTAACAGTCTTCCTAAGAAACAAAAACGTTACGACAGTCCTCCATAGGAACAGAAAACTACACTACTACTAAAGAAACAAAAAATATTACAGTCCGTCGGCAATAATCAAACTTTCAACTTCGTACACAAATTTCAAACTCAATGGCAGGAAAAGTAAAGAAGAAGAGTATATATACACAAGGCAAAAACTAATGCTTATCTTCCTTAAAAGCTCAACAGGTCACCTGGCGGACGAATCCAAAACTCATCCTCCTAGCCGTTCCTCTCATGACAACCAATAAGGTCAAAGACACAGTTTGGGAAGGAAATAATAGCAACTTCAAGAAATAAACCTTATCATTCTACGGATGATAATTGAATCCAACATATTCGTCACACAAATCACTAAGAAATATTCATCATTCTTCAGAAATACTCGAACAGAATCACAATACTTTTAATTCTTAGTGGGTCATTTAACAATAGTACTAGAACTATTTCAACTGTTAAGAGAACGTGGTCTCACAGTCGACATACACAACATAACATTTTCACGATAGGGGGTGGCCAGGTTTCACTTCCACCTCAGCATATCAAAGCGTCACAATGGACAATGCAAGTGTTTTTACCTCACAAACACCACAACACAAAGGAAAGCTACTGGGACTTAGTCAGTAGTCTTACATCAACACATAAAAGGCCTAACCTTCTATGTATCTGACTTCTTGTGCTTTTATTTCATCGTCTTCATAGTGTTTCCACTTCATATATTGTTGTAATGGCTTTCGTGAATTGCGGTCTTGGTTCAGTCAGAAGTTGTGAGTATTGTTCTCGTTCCAAGATCTTTTTTCTATTCAATCTATTCCACTCGCTTCTATTCGGTTTGTTCTCAGGTTTTCTTACAGTTTTCTACGCTTCTTTTGTTCTTATTGACCATATATATCTTTTGAGCTCTTCGCATCTAGATAATATAATAGCTGTCTGATGTAAATAGAACAGTCTGATGTAAATAGAAAAATAAACATTTCTTTAATTTTGCCAAATATTACAGTTATAAAAGTGTTTTCAGCTTACTTACTTTATAAACATATCAGGATGCGCAAAATAATCTGCGTACATTTCTAATAAAGATCTTCTTTCTAATATAAAGGTCGGTAAAACAACTTTCGTCAGATCCATACCGATTTTAACTTGCGACAGTAGGTGTCTAATGACGGATCCGTGGCTCTCCAACTCCAATCCATTCTCGTCGCTTTCTTCATATAAAGCTAAAACAAAAGTAAAACTAAATACGTTTTTTTAAATATTTGTAATACCCACTACTCAAATCTACTACTAATATACAAATCACTAATCCGATCAAAACGGATTTTTTGCCTACAATTCCTCCGAAAACTTTTAACGAGAGAATTATAACTACAGTATTGATTTAGTTTTAATCTTTTTTATCAAATGACTACATTATATTATTCCTATAATATTTTGAGCATAACTTTTCTGTATAACAAAATAACACACGCATCACGAAAACTTGCTGTTAACTTATGTTAGCGTTCACCCTGTAAATTTTACCAAGTTGACTATTGACGTTATTCCTTTGACGATTACGATCTAATACGTTTGCCAAGCCACTTTTCCTAGATATAATTTCCGAGAACGAGCTATATTTATACCGTTGAATTCGATTTCGTGATTAATTTGTCATCATTATTCATTAGCTTTAATATTTTCAGGTAATTCCAGATTTTCTAGGCGTCTATCAAGATCTGCATAATGCACCCAATTCTTCACACGTCCAGTTCGCATGCGAGACGTTACGCTGTAAATCAATGGTGCATGTACGTTTTTTAATAGAAAATTTTAGTTTGAGTAAATATGTGCAGCTAACTTCATACTTTTGTATCATACCAAGTTTCGTCTAAATAGTAAATTTGTCTACTTTCTTGCGAATATTTAGTAATTTGTTCTAGGTATATATTAAATCCCCCATGTGAAGTATAGTCTCCCATTGGGCGGGTTCCGGGGTGGCGGATAGGGGAATGGCTCCCAGATATGGGTGGTACCGGGGAAATCAAATACCCGGCGTGGACCAAAACTAGCAAAACAGTAGCGTCTGATCCAGAGACGACGGCTACGAACAGCGTCTGACCCAGAGTGGGCGGCAGATACAGAACTCACCAACTCGTCTGGCAAGCGAGGTGTTTTAGTGCCAAAAAACCCTCTTCAGAAACCATGTCGAATTATGAAACAAACGGAATACGAACCCAGGTGGGTAGAGTTACTAACTGGGAATCCCTCGCCGGGAAACCGGTTCGCCTCACGGATTCTGGGGAGGCAAATATTCGACAAAACTAAATGTAGGAACGTATAACATCAGATCCATGAACGAAGACACTAAAATCCACGAACTAGAGGAAGAACTGACTAAAATACAGTGGGATATTATCGGCATATCTGAAGTAAGAAGAAAAGGAGAACAAAAAATACAGTTAAAATTAGGAAATTTGCTGTACTATAACGGTAATGAAGAAAACACCAACAATGAAGATTTATAATAAACAAAATACATACAAGTAGTTAAATACATAAAATCTACCAAGGGCATATCAGATAGGGGTCGTATTAGGCGTTAGGCATTAGGCGTCGTATACACGACGCTTAAATTAAAAAGAAGGTCCTTAAACATCATACAGGTGTACGCTCCAACAACTGGGACTTCAATGCCAAAAATACGAGAACACCTCTATCATATAACAGCCTCACATCGTTGGCCCATACTTAAAATTAATTGCCGTATTTCATTTTGGTCTAGCTCTCTCCAAATCTGGATCAGCCTCTCTCCCACTTCCTGTAAGTTGTTTGGTTGGATCGGTGTCGCTCTTAATCGCCTACCAAGAATATCCCAGAGATTTTCAATCGGATTTAAATCAGGATTGTGTGCTGGCCATTTCATAGTGTTAATTTCTACCTCTTCTAGAGAATTTCTGACGATCTGTGCAGCGTGATGTTTGGCATTATCTTAAGTTAGTAAGAAAATTTCACCGATACAAGGAGCAAATGGTACTACATGTTGCTTTGTGGCCATTTTATATGACCACTAGATCCGTACGTGCGGTCAAAGAAATACCACCCCACATCATAACGGATCCTCCACCAAAAAATATGGTGCGTGAGAAGTTACACTGAGCATATCGTTCGTTGGGTCGTCGCAACACACGAACACGTCTGTCGTTATGTACAAACAAAATCGGGATTCATCAGTAAATAGCACTTATTCCCAGTCAGCCTCTAACCAATTAACGTGTTCTCTGGCAAAATTTAGTCTCCCTCTTCGCTGCTCTGGAGTTAATAGAGGACCTTGGGCGGCAATCCTACTCGCTGGCGAACAGTTTAAGTACTAATTTGTATAGCATGCACGTCTCGAAGCTGAATTTGTAGACTTTGATGTGTTACAAAACGTTGCCGAAGAGCAGAGATTGTTAAAAATCGATCTTGAATAGGGGTAGTTACCCGGTTTCGTCCTTGCCCTGGTCTGCGAGTTTGATCCCCTGTTTCGAGGAATCTTTCTAACACCCGTGAGACGGATGTGTGGGACACATTAAACCGATGACCAATTCTTAGGTAACTCCAACCTTGTTTCGACAGTCTCACTGTTTGGGCACATTTATCTCGGGTTAAATTACGTGATTGACACTCCATAATAAACACAATTAACAATAATCAACAATTAAACAGTAGCCGAATAAAATTCGTGAACACTTGTAAATTAGTATATTTATAGAATTAGTACATTTTTTGCTTCTTTTTGTTTTGTTGCAAAAAAACTATAGCGATAAAACACAGTCAATAAATATAGAGTTTGCGAATAGCATATACAAAGGGCTTGCAAAATATAACATTACAATGGAAATTTTTATTAATGCTAATAAAATATTTTAATTTTTCAAAGTTTTGCGTTAATTTCTTGGAGAAGTCTATATACATATATACATTATAAAAAACAGAGATTATACTTAAAGAGAATGTGGCTACAATCACATTTCTATTTAAGTAGAGCTATAATTTGGCATAAAATAGCTTTGCTTTGATGAAAATCGATACAGTCTAGCTGATTTGATCGCCGTCATTAATATTAAATAAAGATTTTCTATTTTAGCTCGGGATATTCATCAGCTGATACAGAAATCGCGAACTTGCCATCGTCGCGTCTCGTCTGTGCTTTAGATTTTGAAAGAACCTTAATAAAAACAAAAGCAGGTGTTTTGTAGGCAGAAGATAAGTCGTCTAATAAAAAAATAAATGATTACTTTGTGCCTATCCTATCGCTTTTATTATTTTATGTGATGTGTTTTTCTTGACCTCTTAATGGTAGTTTAGCTTTTGTCTGGCTCTCCACATAAAACTTTCGTAAAACGATCCAAAGCTTTTTGCGTGTGTAGGTTTTTAATGGATAGGTATAAAGTACATGCAATGGAAAAATTTAACGATAATTCCTTCATTTCTGTAATGTTTAATATTGTCAAAACTGCTTGCTTACCTCTAGATAAGCAAGTTGTTGTATTCTCGGAAACCTGAAAATACAACTTTTTCTTCTCATAAAATTGCTAAATTTTTACAGCTGGCAACTTTCAGATGAGTATTTAGAGGTTATTGCAATCCATATTGCAATCTATAGATCCAATGCAATATCCCATTTATTAGTAACTAGTAATTAGTAATTAGTAATCAAGAAACAAAGATTACTTCTAAAACCTGAAAATAATAATATTAATAATAAACCCGAAAGCGAGCACTAAAAAAAACCAAAATAGAACTCTCAATACATCCATTGAAGTCACAGTTTTCTAACCACAAAATGCAACCTGCTGTTGCAACAAATTATTATGGTTACAAATTATTTTTTTAGGATTAATTATATTTATTTTACTAAAATAATATTCATACTATCTAATTTCTGTAATTTACTGATAAGCAAAACTATTAACAATTAAAACTATTGTTTTTATGTTAATTAATGTGTCAGTGTAATATTTTTTTAAGGTAAATACTTGGTAGGTTTTTTTTTAAATTGAATAATTTAGTTTTCGCGATATTTTATCGACAGAAACTTAAACAGCGAGAACGCTTGGAATGATTGTATGCATAATTAAGAAACCATTTATTGATTAGTTTCATAATATGCGGGTTATTTTAATATTACTATAAACTTACGTAACACGTTTCATGTATAAGAAGTAATAGTGTTTGTTTTCAATGCTATTTACGATTATTTCTTAGTTGGAATTATGGGCAAAAATTGAATTAATTTAATTGGGGTAAATCCACCTCTCGAATAATCAATAGCATGCTAGCCGACCGAACGATTCAAGTAATCATGGGAACTGCCAAAAAAGACCGTTCTTTACAACGCACTTCGTTGCAAAATTGGTTCTTTACAGCTAGATCAATCCAAAACCATTTTCAAAATGCTCACGGGTGGACTTTAAGCACTTCTACCGGAGAAGGTTAAGGGAATTTGGTCTAAGAGCTCGCTGTCCAGCAACAGGACCTTTGTTAAGAGCAGCACGTCGACAACGCCGACTACAGTTTGCTAGAGACCACAGGCATTGGAGGATAGAAGATTGAAAAAATGTTTTGTTTAGTGATGAGTTCAGGATGGTTCTTTATGGCTCAGAGGGTCGCATCAAAACATACAGAACACGTGGGGAACGATATGATGCTTGTGTTCGACTAGTACGTGTTGCTTCTGGAGGAGGTTCGGTAATGTTTTGGGCAGGCATTTCATTCGAGGGCCATACTGATCTCGTATTTATCGATAGAGGGGCGTTGAATGCACAATTGCACACCGATCATCATCATCAGTGGTGCTACAGCTCTAGTTGAGCCTTGACCTTCCCCAGTCTATTTTGCCAGTCGTTTCTGTTCATCGCCAACCGTTGGCAATTTGCCGCGCCGATTTTCCTTGCGTCCTCGTCCACACCGTCCCTCCATCTCAGTCGTGGTCTGCCTCTACTCCTATTTCCCACTGGGGCCGATAATAGAGTTCGTCTGGGTGGGTAATTTTCATTTGCTCTTGACACATGTCCAGCCCATCTAAGCCTACCTATTTTTATGAAGGATATTGCACACCGATACATTACGAAAATTATAGACGAGCATATAATGTCTTTTGCTGTGTTTTTCGGCGAAAACTTTATTTTTATGCAAGACAACGCGCGGCCACACGTAGCCAGGATGGTAACGCAATATCTGGAAGAAAACTGTCGGTGTGCCAAAAATAAACTGGCCGGCTCAAAGTCCAGATTTGAACCCCATTGAAAATGTTTGGGACCAACACAAACGAAGGGTAAGAAACAGAATACCTGCTCCAATAAATCGTGAGCAGCTTAGGTTGGCACAAAAGAAAGAATGGGAAGCTTTTAATCAAAACGACATCCAGAATTTGATCAATTCAATGCCAAATCCAGTGAGGAGTGTAATTCGCAATAGGAGTAGTAATAAACAGTATTAATTAACACGACTTGTAATTTTACAAAGAAAACAGAAAAAATGTACAATGTTGAATTTAAGAACTTGTGTTTTCGAGCCTCGGAAATCATCATTTTATGTTATTATAAGTTTTAAGTTATTTTTAATAGAGCTTTTTTGTTTATAATGATCCAAAAAACCTAAAAAAAATTATCCAGACCAAGAAAATTTACTGTTACAATTTGTTTAAAAAAAGTTTTTAAAACAATTTGAAAAACTTTTTGACTGGGCGATTTGGATTTGCTACAAGTTTGTTGACTCTCGTAAGATTAAATCAGGAAACCTTCCATTTTTTGGTAAATATGTTACGATCACTCTACCTGAACTGTATGAAATAAAATACGAATGTATTCACTGTGAATTATACATGGGATCTTATAAAGAAAACCTAATTTAACAGATTACTGCAGCATCTAGTATTTTAGTATCATTTATACTAGGTAGTAGATTTATGATGTACAATCTTCGTTAAATATATAATTATTTCTACAATTCTACCAACTTACCATCATAATCGAGGTCCTCCATAATTGATCTAGATCTAATACTATCTTGTCTAATGCTGTTTCCAACTGGGTCGATGGGAGATTTATTAACAGGAACTGGGGTTTGGGCGTCATTGTCGAATGATCTTATACTACTGCAAGACAAAGAAAAAATACATCAGTATAAAAAATAAGTAATTAGGTGAATTATAATCTATATTCTTATAAAATATTATTAAAATCAGAATTTTTATAAAAATATATTCTATTTTATATTTTTTCTAATTTTATAAGAAAGATCAGGATAGGGTCTTGCAATCTTGGAAGTCTTACAAGTAAGAGTGTGGAATTAGTAGAGTTAGTAGACAAACATATATAATTAGAGATATAATTGCTGATAAAGTCAGAAATAAAGTTTTGACAATAAAGGTACGGGGTTATAGTTTATTCGTCTTCCGGGTTTGGACCGTGTCATTTGTGAGTGACCCAAAAGTGGGTTCATCTCGATGTTTCGCTACAATTGTATGTAGCTTCTTCAGGAGAACAAAGAAGAAGAAATCAAAAGACAGGAAGATGGGTAGTTAGCAACGGTAACTCAGTTACTCAACGCAACCAGAGGCGAATACTAACTACCAAGATGGGCATTTGGTCACAGTAACTCAACTACTTAACGCAGCCAGAGGTGAAAACCAAATGCCAGGACAGGGATTCACGTCCAACAGCTCAGAACACTAACGCTTCGAGAGGCGGGGAGTGAATCCGACGATTACTCCGCTACCGCTCTATTTATAGTCGCGGTGACCTGTCGTGTCGGGGACGTATCGGCACACTGCGTGGCGCGAACGTCAAGAAGCGCGCGCTGGCCAATCATGTGGCTGCATCGTGGTAGCGGGACCGGACGGCGGCTCTAGACTGAGATTCCCGATGGGAGACAAGTAGTATCCTTCCTCTCAATTGATATTATGTGGATTTTTTTCGGATCTCTAGAGATTCACGGATTTTCCTGGAATAAAAGAAGGGGCTCTTAGAAATAATATGGGTTTTTTCGAACAATATGGAATGACCGGTTTCTTGGCAGTGTTCTGCAACTGCAGAATGGGCGAAAAGACCTGATCGAATGCATCTTTGATGCTGTTGAATCCGAGTTTTGACGGAACGACCAGTTTCGCCAATATACACATGTCCACATGAACAAGGAATAGAATAGACACCACAGAAAGATAGGGGCGGTAATGGGTCCTTAGGAGAGGGTAGATATTGTGAGATTTTCTTGGGTGGTCGAAAAGTAGTCCTGATACCTTCTTTGCGAAGAATTTTGCCAATCCTATCAATGACACTTCGAATATACGGAAGAAAAGCCACAGGAGTATTACCCGAAGAAAATCTTAGGTACGGGGTGGTGGTCAAAAGTTGTTAAAAAAATAAAAAGAGAAGAGACGGCATACAAATATCTAGGGTGTCCAAATTAAAAGACATGGGTTACGATGGTTAGCGATTTTCAACGTCGAAATGATATTGATCCTCTATCAAGAGTTACTAACTTCCAACTTCCAAGAAGTAGTAGGAAAACGAGACCGAAGAAGATTTGGTAAGAAAAGCTTAGGCGTGTCTCGAATCAATATTGCTAAGACCCGAGATAGAAAGTTAGGGAAGCTAATTGCATTTCTCCATGCAAATAAGACCGAAGAAGATTTAGTAAGAGAAGACTGCAGAAGACTTAGTAAAAAAACCTTAGACAGGACATGTTTGGGATAGATATTAGTAAGACTCAAGATAGAATTCGTATCGGCTTATATAGAGTGGAACGGCTACTAAAAATATTTATAATGTAGTGAGGTCGCTTTGGAATAATATATAGAACATATCCATAGAGGTACTTTTCAGTGCGTCACAAAGTTGGATGTGACGGAGAAAGCGGTAGTTCGGTGATTAAACAGAACTATATTGCAGCGTTAGAATAAGCTTACATACATAAGAGGTTCTTTCCTAACCTACATTTGATTCGTTGATATTTAGATGCGCGCTTTCTCTAGCCAATCAAATACGCCTATTACTGACAGTTGATGTAAAATTTTGTCCATGCTGGCCATTCTTTCGAAGTGTTCCAACAGCAAGTGACGGCTATCGTTCAGGTCAATTTGCAAAGAATATAGACGCTATATAATATATTTATATTCTTTGGTATTTGTTTTGTATAATTTTATTTTGTATTTCGTTTTACATAGTATTGTGATTGTAGTTTTATTTATATTTGTACAAGATGACAAGATATACGGAAAAAGAACAAGTTCGAATATGAAAATTGCTTAAATATTTCCAATTGGAAAATGAAGCTGGACAAACATTATTACCAATTTCTGATGTTCGTGAAGTAAGTTGAAAATTACCCTGAAAATAAAATTGTTTTATTTATTGTTTATTTCAGCGTAATGGGGACATTAGGTATTTGTATGGTATTTTTCAAAACACCATTCAATACACATAGTTTTTTCACCATATTGCGACCTTTTTTCACCGTATTTACTTGACCCAGTGGTTCAATGGTATCATAATTGGATAACATAGAACAGTATTGTCATACCATTCCACACACAAAATTTCATTAGTTTTGTCGAATCTATAATCATATGCATTTTTCTTCATTAGCTTACTCTTCATTAGCTTTCTCCATTACTGGACATTTTACAGTTCCTGTTGCCTTTACATTTCTAAACATTTAAATGTTTATCGAAAAAATTTCATTTGTTGATGGTTCAGGCAACTGTTTCAAAATATCAATTACTATTTTCGCTTCAAGTGGTCTATTTTAATAGTACCATTTGTTTTTTTTCGGCAACAAACGTGAAAACCATAATCATATCCAGTGGAACCAGTTATCATCCAATTCTTATATTCACATCTGATTGGCTTCTCTCTAATTAACTGTTTAGGTAAGTTATGACCAAAATATTTAACCATGGAGTTGTCTAAGGAAATATCTTTATGGAAACATCCCCACTGGCAGTATTTTTCTATAATTTTATCTGCTAAAAGTCTAATTTTGTACATACAAACGTACAAAATAGAATTTTATTTTATTTATGTAATTAATTTATAAGTTACCTAATAAATTTTTAAAAACAGTCTTTTTTGTGTTACTTATACTATGGCCAAAAATCATTAGTGAGAATAGAAGATATAACATCAGAAGAAATAGAAGTAGAAAGAGTTGTTCGACAAGGGTGTATACATAAACCAGTATTATTTAATATGTATACTCGGAAGACATATTAAGTAAGGCAATGGATTAACGAAACGTAGACATTAGAATTAATGACAATCATAAATAACCTGAGATACGCTGATGATACAGTTCTTTTAGCCGAATCACATGAAGACCTACAGATACTTCTTAATTAGGTGACCGCAGTAAGCGAAGAAGAATATGGACCATCACTCAACAGAGCAAGAAATATATGACAATAACAAAGATAACTCAGGACATTCGTGAGCTATATGTACAGAATCAGCCTATTGAAATAGTAAGAGAATTCAAATTCCTAGATACAACTATAAATGAAAACAATGACAGCTCTCAAGAAATACGAATCAGAATCAAACAGGCCAGAAGCATATTTACAAGAATACAAAGGCTTCTCTGCTGTAGAAACTTAAACCTTAAGTTATAAAAACGACTGCTGAGGTGCTACGTGCTATCCGCATTATAATACGGGATGGGCGTGGACACTGAAGAAAATTCACGTGAGTAGACTGAAGGCATTCGAGATGTGGATGTACCGAAGAGTACTAGAGATCTCATGGGTAGATGGAATAACCAACGTTGAGGTAATGTGACGTATGCATAAGGAAAGAGAAGTACTGACAATTAAGAGGAGGAAAAGGGGGATATATGGATCATATGATGAGAGGAGATAAATATCTAACACTCCAGGTCATTATGCAAGGAAACATTAGGAGAAAAAGATCCATAGGAAGGAGACGTAACTCATGTAACAGCCGCTTGAGAAGAAGATACAAAAATTCAATAAATGAATCATTTTGTCGTCAATTTCAAGTTTTTACATATTTATAAATTGAATAAACAATATTGTTTACTTTTTATTTTTATTAATATACGGGATTACGCCCTGTGGCTAAGTATGATCCTGGCATCTGTCAGATTCTTCAATAATTATATGAAATAATTCTCGACACACCTAATTCATTCTATGACATCATAATTAATGACGCACTGGAAAGTACTTCTGGGATGTACTTTATTTAGTAAGGGAAACACGAACCAAGCGGAGCTTGGTGTCACGTTTAATTGGTTGATTGAAACGTTACAAGTCTTAATTAAAAAGGGCTCCAAAACAGTACTAGCCACAGGCTAATGCAAGTTAGTCAGTTACAAAAATTTTAACATAGTTAAAAGTACAAACATAGTTAATTCTTCATTTATACTGTAATTGACAGGAAGAAGTCAGTCTGTGTCAATTAATTAAAATGATCACACTGATCTTTTTAAGTAATACTGGGAGAACAGTAGAAGAAATGGATATGTTTATGTTATGTAGTTTGTGTTATTCTGCTCCTCTTAAATATTAATCGAAGGAAAAATACATTCAAGTAATTTTATAATTAATACAATATTATATGAACACAGTTACCCCAAATTCCGCACGATATGTAGAGAATTCTTTTTCGCTTGCCAACTATAAAAAACTTTGTTTATGTTCGTTTGAAGTAAATTACAAAATATTAGTTTTCTGATAAGATAGTAGTTTCCAGTGACCTACATTTTAAAGCACTGTAGGTAAATTGTAGTAAATGTTGATAATAAATATTACTACCAAAAGATAAAATCAATATCCACATGAGTGAAAAAATATCTGTGATATTTAAAAATAAAAAAACGGGAAACTTTGGTATTACAGGCCTAATTTGACTGAGAAATGGAGGACCACACCTACCAGATGTTCAAAAAAATTATACAAGATGCAGATTTTGCTCAACAAAGAAAAAAAAAACGAACTAACATTAAGTTAATGTCAAGTAGCTTTATGCCCAAAAAATGTTTTAAATAATTTCACACCGCTGTAGTTGAGACCTAAATTCGTTGCCACTCATATATGCATATTTGTACTTTTTTATTATATAAATTGTTTCACAAATT